CTCGAATGCTAACAATTTGGCAAGAAGGAAATCCTCGAAAGCGCTTGCAACGGAGACTTCATTCTTGGAAATTTTTTAACTAGTGGTTACAGAGGTTCTTAAGAAAAATGGTAGCCATTTGCTGAGAGGCTTAATTTGTACGGCAGGTTGCTGTCAGTTATAGTTCAAGATGCAATTATCATCTTATTCACAATGTGCTCAAAAAAGACTTGGTAAATTTTTCCCAAAGAATGATGAATGGCTTATCGAGTTTTGTCGCTTTCCCAACGCTCTACCACAAACGAGCGATTGTCAATATTTCCTAGGGTTTAGCTGATTTTCGTGCTTTGCTCTCCTTTACAAGATTCCGGAAACTGACGAAGAACCTCTACCGGCGCTCCAAGCGCGGAGAGCTGCCATAGTATTTAAAGACGCAATCGGTCGCGATCATTCATAAATTCTCGAGGATAGTTGTACTAACCAATTCCTCATCGGGAACCCTTTGTATATGCCTAGTTACTGAAAAAAATGGTCTAAATTCTGCTAGCTTGTAACTTGTAGAAGAAGTAGGTCTTGAAAGACATTGTAACTAGAGAAGAGAGATGGGAGGGTGCTCTTTGGTACTTGTAAATGCTGCCTTCTGACTGCTTTGAGGAGCGCAATTGTCAGCCACCTTTCTTCTGCGCTGGTAATTGAATTAACATATTATAAGATAATGAAAATGTAGTTGCGATGCAAACTGTGCGTGAGAATAATCTCAAAGAAACCTACTTAGATCAAAGAGAAGCTGCTGCTCAGAAAGAGAAGCAGCAAAGATTATCTCTTCCTTTTTCTCACACAACCACAAGTGGTTTCGACTATATTGGTATGCGTAGCGATGTTCGTCTTAAAAATGGCCCGTTATTGTCTGTAGAGATCCTCTTCTTCGCCTTGTGGTTTTAAAAAATTTGAGGAAACTAAGACAACACGTCAAAGTACAATGCCAATTTATCACAATCTTAGGTTCAATCCGTTCCCAGGATTGACTTTCTATTAACGTCGGCATTGGAATATGAATCCGTAAATAGTGATGCGACTATAATCAGCTGTTCTTGGATAATCTATATAATCTCTAATATAATCTCGACTATAATCCTCTTCATTGGAAGTCACATAAAAAACGGCCTTGAAGAAGGCGATACTGCCGAAACTCCAGTTATTGTTGTATTGTGTTGTGTTTTTCTATGGAAGTAAATGTATGCTGTCTAACAACCTCGTGAATGCTGAACAAGAAAACGACGCAATCTTAGTAATGTTTGTGTCCCAAAGCGTCGAGTTCCTTAGTCGATTGCCACCCTTTTTGGCAAGGGTTCTTCGATGAAGCGGCTTCCTACTAAAATGTAACATCTACCTGGAAAGAATAAAATTATTAATTTTAGTCGAATTAAGCAACTTCAAGAAATTGTTTTCCTTAAGCGGAATCAACAATTTGTAGAGTGCCTTCTCACTGATAAATCTACTTCATACCGCCCCGTCACAGCGTGAGGTGCTCCTGGTAACTCTATGCAAAGAACGGCTTAATTTTCCAAGACAAAAAGTTGGAGATTTGTACCTTTGTTTTCAAATTTTCAGTTAAGAATACACTTACAGCTGAATGAAAGAGAGGGCTGATGAATGGAACTTCATTAGGAGACCCTTATTACACAACGAAAAGTCCGATTATGAAATTTTAGTGGCGTACACTTGACCATGAACTCATTTTTTTCCAAATCACGCCATTTCATATGACATTCTATCACTTTGTCTTGCCAAACTTCGTCACCAGCCTTCAGGTTTGCAAAACAATACAGACAGGTGACAAAAGAAAGTCTTAAAGAGAGAAGAGCAGCAGTTATGGTTGAAGCCGCAGAGGCTGGGAAAAGCATTCGAAAAGCCCACCGAAGCTTCGCCAACTACAAGACCAAAATGATTGCACTCCGACGCTCAGATCGAACACTTACAGCGTTCAGAAAGGCAATGGAGAAAATCATTCATGAATACTACTCAGATCACTTCGATAGCTACGTCCTCCTTTGCTTTCATGAAATAAAGGAGGATGGATATGATGTAACACCGCTTCTCCATTCCGAAATCCGATATGCTATTTCGCCGGTGAAAAATCGAACAGCACCAGGTCCGGACAGCATAGTACCAGAACACTTAAAGAGCCTTCCGCCAGTCCTCGTAAACACACTGGCTCGCCTCTTCACACGTTATCTGTCTGAATGCAAGGTTCCTACTCAGTGGAAGACCAGCAAGACCATGCTATTCTTCAAAAAGGGTGACCTCCATGATATCGGCAGCCATCGTACAATCTGTTTGCTGTTTGTCGTCAACAAATATTTCACTCGAGTCACCCTAAACAAGATAGAGGGAACACTAAACGAAAGGCAGCCATGTGAGCAAGAAGGGTTTTGAAAAGGATTTATTACGATGGACCACATCCACACGATAACAAGATTGAACGAAGTGTCGCGAAAGTACAAAAGACCACTCTGTCTTACTTTCATGGATTTACAGAAGGCTTTTGACTCAACTGAGATAGAAGTAGTCATGGAAGCCCTTGATAGTCAGGGAGTCCCTACTCAGCACATAAAGATTCTTCGTGAGTTGTACAAAAATTTCACAACCAAGATATCTCCATTCTACAACGATATTAACATTGAATTCAAAAAAAGGAGTAGGGCAAGGCGATACCACCTCGCTAAATTTACTTACCGCCACCCTCCAGAACCTCATGCGAACATTGGAATGGAACAACATGGGAGTGAAAATCGATGGTCGACAATTACTCCATCTTCGCCTTGCTAATGACATCGTCCTTATAACAGCAAACATTAGCTAAGTGGAACGAATGTTTGTCGACTTTGATAAAGCCTGTGGAAAAGTTAAACTCCGAATAAATCTCATGAAAACGATGTCTACGAGGAACGAACTCGTTTCGTTTCCCCTATTCACGCTTAACGGAACGCATATCTCCGAATACTCCTGTTAAGAGTATTTTGTTCGGGAAATCAATATGATGAACGATTTAGCCCCTGAGCTGAGCAGAAAGAAACGAGCGGCCTGGAGCACTTTCAAGAGCATCGAGGATGTAGTGAAGAGGACAAAGAACACCCGACTCCTTGCCCAACTTTTCGACTCAACGGTACTTCCTGCCCTAAAGTATGCATGCGTCAGAAACCTGATCGCTGTGTAAGCAGGATGAAGGATCACTCATCGTATTTGAATGTGCAGTCAACGGGCCGATACTAGGAGAATCTCGTGTTGCACGAATAAGTGAAGAGATCCGAAGCTCCGAGCTGCGTCAATGATCAAAAATCAAAGATGCCGTTCTGTGCACCAAACAGTTGAAGATCACGTGGGCCCGACACGTAATGCGTATGAATGACAACCAATGGACAACAGCCGTTAGTGACTGGATTCCTTAGGATGTTAAATGCGAGGCAGGAATACCACCGACCCGATGGTCAGAGTTCTTCACAAAGAGCCTAGAAGAAAGATATGATACCCAGCGAGTCCGTAGAGCGAGCAGAACCCACTGGGCTACTGCTGCACGCCACAGGGAGAAAAATGGAAGATTAACTGGCAGCCGTTCGAGTCACTCGACGATCAACGGGACTGCACGTGATACAGGTAGCAAGTGATTCTCTTCTTTATTCCAGCACAATGATCATTAATAGTTATAGTATTTCATTTAGTATCTCCAATACAATCTACTAATGTTGCGCAACTGATTACCCGTAGTGAGCAGCAACATGGCACACGCAACTAGCCTGTAACACGTAAAAGAGATGCAATCCCTTAAAATCAATGTGGAAAAAAGCATATAAAAATATAACCAGTAAGAAATAGAGGGATTGTACTCAAAGTTTTCATCAGTGCCGCACGGATTCACTACCCGTTCGACTTCATCAAGAATCGTTGCAGACAACTGAATTCATATCTGGCCTATAAAATGATTCGCGGTGGCATACCCATGCATGGAGTCAGTGCTGTTATCTTCCCAGACAGACCTGGCAACAATTTGCCGACTCCGGAGGGACAGAGGGATTAGTGAGCCACGGGCGCGATATCGAACTCATTTGTACTACACGGGACCTCCAACCACTTCGCTACACGTGGCTCCAAAACATAACAAGTATGGACCAAATAGCTGTCAATAGCAGAAAAAAAAACCAACTAGGAGACGGATGGAAAAAGTTAGCATTCGATGTATATTCCAATCGGCACTTCCGACCTCTCGCATCCTATACGATTAGTGCGCTCGGTGTGAAAACGTCCCACCATGCAGCATTCTCCTGATCTGCCTTTGGTCAAGAATGTGTTGACAAAAAAACAAAACAAAACAGAATGCATTACACTTTCTGTAACACCAACCTACAATCTCAAAAGAGAAAATGGCAATTATTTGTCCAAAAACTTAGAGATAGGAAGTACCCCAGCACTACACCACCTGTACTCTTCTGTGTAACCACACAAAGACCCCTCCCTTCGCGCAATGGTGAAGACAGCTACTGCATACGCACCCACAGGTACATACTACCACGGTAGTATAACTGAAATCTGCGTCTACAGCACTGTCTAATCCACATTTTCTGACTCGTTATAGTTTCATAGTGCAGGATGTTGTCCGAAAATATTTCAAGCATGAGATTAAGCAAACTTCAAATTATATTTTCACCGAAGTTTTAGTCTAAGCTTGATCAAAATCCTGAATAACAAAACAATACTGAGTAGTATTAATTATAACCAAGTCAAGCGCACAGAATGATGGATGTATTTTCCGTAGAACGTACAATATATTAAAAACAATTCGACACGTAAAATACTAGTTTTCACATAGTTATCAGCACTGTTATTAATTCACTAAAACGTGAATCGTCACAGAGCTGCTAACAAATTAACATAGACAATACAGAAGAAAATACATCAAAAACTCAAATATGACGGTATAGGTAAAGTAAAATTGAACAGAAAATATGACAGACTAATAGCAGCTTTCAAGATCCGTGCCCTTGACCCACACTGGTGTTCATAGTAGAAATGTCACATGATGATTTGCTTTCCATGACCGCTCCACTTGCACAAGGAACCCTTCCAACGCAAGACTGAGGCTGAAATTCAGAAATGTATGAATCACTCAAAAAACGAAGCATGGAAGTAGTGGTAAACAAATAATAACGCAAGTTCTTTAGGCACAGAATTAAAAAGGATAAGCACAGTCGACATGATAAAATAAAGTTTAGACTTTAGACAATTAGACTACAGTTTATGACAGAAGGATAAAGTGCTTGATGTTGATCGAACCCTGGGAGACGTTCAATGTGTTCGACTTTAGCAAGCATCGCTAGAAGTTATTGAATGCATATTTGGCCTACACAATGACTAGTAGTAGTGTGGCAGTGCATCGAGACCGTGTTGCTTTCCTTCCAGACATGACTGGTAACAATTCACCGGCTCTGGAGGATTTCGTGACTCTAGCGCGCTGGGATCGAACCCAGGTGAATTGCAGGGCACCTCTAACAACTACTTTACATATGCCCCATAATTCAAGACAAATGGTAGAAATTAATAATAAAATATGGTTTATAAGTAGTATAGAAAAAACAAGGTTCGAAAAATGAAATACCACTTTCATCGGCCTCATTTGGGAGGATGATGAAATGTTTGGACTGTTGCCAGCAATCCCCCACTTATTCGCATGTTGGTTGGGCCGAACGAGGTTCATTTGTTGAGGGGAATTGCCTGGAACATAAGTCATGTTAAATTCACAAAATCGTGTAATAGAAACAAGTTACTAGCAGTACTAAAGCTCAACAAAAACTAACACTCAAAAGACCGACATTCTATAGACCTCGGCATAAATAATCGCATAAATAAACAATAATAACAACAACTTATACCAAACTCACATCGGCTCAACAAGTGCAGTTCAAAAGGACATATAAACAAAACTAACAATGTTCTAGCAATAAAGAATGCACAATGTTGTTCAAAAAATATAGCAAAAAATGTGGTTAGTGACAATTAAGTGGAAAACGATAGCTTTTACGAAGGAAGTCTCAAACCTGCGAGCATAGTGAATTGCGGTCGCATTCCCGCAGAAATTGTTAGCCCTCTTTCCCACTGAGCATCCTGATGTAGTGTAGGCGGTGGCTGAGCATATCTAAATAAGTATGAAATAGATTACATTTGCAAAAAAGAAAATGTCTGAAGAGCAAAACGTTAATGGGAACTAAAGCAAACAGTCCTAACCTGACATTTGGAGGAGGCTGGTTAAAATTATGCGTAGAATGTACAGGATGGGTGAGAGGTGGAGGTGCGAAGCCAGCGTACTGAATGGTAAACGAAGTAACACGTTGATTACCAACAGGTGGTGGCATATTCATCAATTCCGGTGGAGGGATCGGAGGAGGTACAATGCTACCAGCAGCAGCTCCACTAGGTGGAGGCATATGTGCACCACTGGGCGGCATAGACGAAATATTAACACCGTAGCCTCGCGCAAGCGACTGCGAATGGGTCTGCAACAGTGATCTTGGGAAATGAAAGAAATTAGTTAGTTATAAACATATATAGGAAGATGACTGAACCTGTAACACAGCAGGTGGCAAAGGATTTCGATGTTGAAGAGCCATATTGTGGGACGACGGTTGCATTGCCGAAGAAAGATGACCAGACGGATGTTGTGGAGTGGCAGGAACAGCAGCATTGCCAACACTGTCCAACATCCCATTGTTCCAAGACATATTTTGCGACGCTGAAATTGAAAACACATGGGAACACTGAGGTCACAGGGAAAATTATTTCATAATGACCCACTATTGGTTGGAAAAATGGTATTTTGATCTATGTAGTTAGAACGAATAGGAAGTTGACGCTGGCTTATTGCCCCGTTGTTCGAGAGTGAAGGAGGCTGTTGATAAACTGGTGGACAGACTGGAGGGCTTGATGCATTTGAAGGAGGAATTAGTGGTTGGACTACTGAACCAACGGAAGTGTAGCCTCGTCCAACAGACATGTCTCCAAACATTACAGGATATGGTGAGAACATCAGTCCACCCAAACCAGACGGAAAAGGTGCTAGAATAATATCATGAACATAAGTACTGGTTACAGATGTGCTTCAAAAACGAATATGTAAATTACCTATACCAGGGCTTTTTGGTGGAACATTGTGGCAGCCAACTGCAACGTTCATTGTGTGTTTCCCATCATTTTGTCCATGTTCCGCGCCAGACTGCGGTTGAGGCTTAACTTTCGCCACGTTTGAAGGCAAACTTGATTCTGCTTCTTTCTCTTCTCCAGACCATAGCTCCTATAACAACGATAGCACAATGGCACTCAAAACAAAGCAATCGCGTAGTGCAAATATACAATTTACAACGAAATTTGTGAAACTGGTAGCACCTTTACTTTATACAGCTTTTCCTTTAGTCGGAAATCTTCCGTCGTACTCCCTGCTTCAGAACTTGCAGCGGTAGACAGCGGAGCAAGAACTTTCTCGTTTGAAACCTGCTCCTTAAAAAAGAAGTACCTGTTACTCATAATGTAAAACTAGGTCCTCAGGATAGCTTGCAAAACAGTGGATTTAAAAACAGATTTCACCTCATGTAGTCGTGGATCAAATGTGAAGTCATATTTATCACCACGTAAGGGTTGACTAGAAGATAAAGAAACAGGAAGCTCCACAATTTGCCTCCTACAATGTATGAATAAAAGATTTACACATTTGCTACACCAATTTTCCGATTTACCTGACTATGTCCTGGAAGCTTGGAGGAACATCGGAGGCGGCAGACTTAGAACGAGGAGTGGGTCTCGCAATGGGTGACGGAATAATGGAAGGTGTCTGAAAAAAAGAATAAAAGAAAATAAACTGTCAATGAAATACGTAACAAACGGCAAATATTAGAATGTGAACTCACACCATCCAATGACTCCTTTTGTTCGGCAACATGTGCACTGTTCCATACCGTCTTGACGGGCATGCTCTTTTCAGACTGTGAAGCTTCAGGTTCTTTTTCCTTAATAGTTTCTGTAATTTCGATCGTCGCCGTATCTTCCTCCACTAAAGCTGATCTGCGACTCTTCTTCCCTTCTTCTACAACATTCCGTTCCGATGCGCTCGTCCAGGTCCCCATATCTTTCTTAAGTTCTTTTTTGGCTTCCTCTTTCTTATCTGGAAAATAAAAGTGAGACAATAAGATGTAGAACTATAGTTGTCCTCTCAATAACCAAAGTTTAATTAAAACACTGTGAATAATGAACCGATGTGAAAATCTTGGCAATGCATATTTTCGTCTAAAAAAGACGCATGCACAAGACAACATAAAACAGCGAAGCTTCGGAACCTTTCTTTGCATTGTTTTGACGAGCGAGTCTCTTAGCTTGTGCACGTGCTTGCCGCTCTTTCTCTTTCGTTTTACGCCTCTCCTCGGCTTCCATTTTTGCTTGCAGTTCCAAAGCTTTTTGTTTCTTTGCACGTTTGTTTAAAACCTGAACAAGTATTTAGTATTAATTATTACTAATAACGTTTTGAACCAAAACGGCTAGGATTTTTGCGCTGAATTACCTCCTCAAACTCCTCGCTGGCATCCACGGTTGTTGCGTCAACTAGATGATCGTCAATAACCACAACACTTGCGATATTGTTGATGTCGAGACCCGCCAGACCGTCCGCTAAGTTCTGAAACGATATCTGTGGGAACACTCCAAAGAAGAGGCAAATAGACAAAACAACTAAGCAAAGCAATAACCGCTCTTGAATCACTGAGTATGTTTCAGACCTTATCAATACTTTGGCCATCCTTTACTCTACAGTTGCACTCCCTATTGTTGCTAGTGGGATTCGTGGCGACTGTGTTGTTGCTGTTGTTGCAACTTCCGGAGGGGGATTGGCACGTACGGCTGGCGGGTTGGACGTTTTTTGATCCACGCAAACGTTCAGCTGTCGAAGAGGACGCACTACTTGGCTCTTGATGAAGTGCATTTTGATTTATGGCACGATGCGCATTTCGACGAATATTTGAACTGGGCACCGCTCCCAAATGGGACCTGTTCTGACGGACGCGTTTGGAAGCCATTACTTCCCTAAAAATATTATTATAGAACAACAAATGGAAGATCTCCTTTGGGAAAGAAAACGAACTCTGAGTGGTCTTCACGTGGAGCACGTGTGCTGCTTTCGCTGGCTGTTTCCCATTCGTCATATCCCTCGCTTGAAACCACTGGGCTGCGCAATCGGTCGACTCGTTCCTGGCCTACTACCGTCTTCATGGAAATTCGTGGTTTTTCGTCAGTGTCGAACTACAATATATAAAGATCGTAATAAACAGATACAGTTGAATTACACCAAAATGAATAATACTTTTCGCCGATTCCGTTGTTGCTGATAACTATTTCTTCCTTTAACATGGGTCACTGCACCTAATTCGTCACTTCCTTTAACGTTAGTCCCACGCACACGGCTCTGCGCATGGTTCTCCTAAAACAAAAAATTTCGGGCGAAAAATAATATGCGCAAAAACGGTTTTGGAAATCGTACACATTTGCCCATCATAATAATATCAATTTTCAAGGAAGGCAACCTAATAATCGAGAAATCAGCTCACCGAATTATCAGATTTGTTAAAATGTTGTCCTCTTCCTCTTCGAGCAAACCCACGCTGTGCCATAGAGCGATTTTGCCATCTGCAATCGTCACTAGAAGTACTAATTTACGAACAAAACAACCTATGGTCATAAAACTGCACAATACCTGTTAGTCGGCCGGCGGTCGTTGTTTACTTCGCGTTGCGATGATACCTGGCATGAATCTCCGTTTTCATCACGTCCATGATGCGAAACGTTATCCACGTTGTTGTCAACTGACTTAGTGGTATTTTTCTTCATTGCAACATTATCAGCATCTGGCTTTTCTATTACGACAGATTTCTCGCCAACAGCACCAAAATTTTGTTTCTCTCCAGAAGGGTCATTGTCGACATTCGACAACGACTGAGCAGTGTTCTAAATTCAAATATTACATTAAATGCACAACCTAGAAAACAACTACCTCACTTCATCACGGGTTGACTCGGCCTCTTTACCAACCATTCGTTTACATTCCGATGAACGGCGAAGAATTTGAGGTTGCACAAACACGATATTACGAGAGTGATTTCGGGCACCTCTCCCACGTCCTGCAGTTGAGCGACGGCCACCTACGACAATTATCGTTTTTTACAAAGGAATCAGTATTACAAGAAAAACACATTATGGGAACAGTGAAATGATTAATGAAATGGAAAATTGTGGGATTTTAGATTCAAGCAGTACAAAATATCTATATTGAAAGCAGTTGTAATAGTTTGAATCCACAAAACAAGAGTTTTACGCGATTTCAGGTCACAGATACTACATCCGGCATAAGAATTACCGTATAAACTACACATATACCTGTTCCATATAGAGTATGGTCGCGATATGAATGTGCAGAAGAATCATGACTCTCCTTGTCTACCATTATATCAGATTGTATATTATTTGGAACACGCTGAGGAATCATATTCCTATCTTAAAAAACGTGATCAAAATTTAAATAAAATGTCAAGAGCTGCAGCGACAATGACGATGTAAACTTATTTCAAACTCACTTCTAATCCAGCGCTCCCCATGTGATTCCCCATAGGAGTCAAGATATCGCTCCTCTTTCTGGAGCAGTCGACCAGAACCAGCTCCACGATGTTCGCATGACGTGTCCTGACGCTGCTCTCGAGTTGCTGTTCGACGTAGATACAATTCGTCAGAAGCCATAAGTTGGCGTACGTCATTACTTCCTTGTTGACGCCTGGCACGTAAAGCAACTCGAGCAAAATCAGAATCTGCGGCTCGTCGAGCAGCGTCCTTAAATGTTTATGTCATTTGAACAATGAAGACTAGCAAACGCAAACCACCATGTCACGAAAAATGAGATGACAGAATGTTCAGACGTGACAGGAGACTTCTTCATAAACCTTCGTAAATAATCCATTATGAAGGATCTGATCCACGAAAACCTCTTTGGATCCAAATTTAAATGAATTGCTGTAGAATGTACCTTGTCGATTTTGATTGAAGCTGCTTCAGAAACCGACGGAAAATGTTGTTCAATGGCTTGCTGCATTACCTTCGGCATTCGAGGATGCTTAATTGCAAGGAACCACAATGCAAAGAACACACAGCTATTTATTTTGCTATAACAAACATCACTGGTCGTCATTACAAAAAGTACCACTAACTTTTTCCTTTTCTTGCGACTCCCTTTCCTCTTGACGCTTAGCCCAAACGTTTTCTGCAGGCGTGGATGCTTGCGGACAATCCTCATACTAGAGTAAAACATGAATTATATTCAACTGAACAATCGGTAATGATCTCCGTTTGATAAATGCATTCACCCTTATTAATTTTACAAACCCAAAGAAGTAGTATATATCAAAACATAGCAATAAAAGTAAGCTTAAAATTCATTTGGAGTCTATGTGTGGAACCACAAACAATTTACCTTTTTGTTAGCCGACCTCAACTCTGTTGATGAAGTAGAACTGGTAGAATTGTTTTCCGAAGATCTCTTTGCATCAACAGCAGCCCCAACTTGATCTTGCAACACCACTTTATTCGACTCAGATTCAGAACGTTGACTTCCTCCCATCTAACGAAAAGAAATTACACTATGTAACCGTCTCCAAAAATAATCGGACTGGATTTTAACCACGAACCACAATTTGTGAGTGGACGGAAAATGAACTGTTGTGATCATTTTCCAAGCTAATTCCATTAGTATCTGCCACTCGTTTCACAACACGAACAGCTGGTTTGTCTAGTTTTGTCATCTGGACATCTATAACAGTGTAACTATGGATAGACTTCTAGCTATAATTGCACTGGGGCACGAACCCTCCTCATCGGTGACGTCTTCGAGTTCAAGTAGCTTCTCCACACACTTAGATGAACGTCTTCCAGGATCATACTCAATGACGCGCTGAAAACAACCACCTTCTCAAAGAAAGGTCTGATAGTCGTTCAACAAATGCAGTAGTAACTGCAACAGTAGGACTACCTGACTATCGGCAAGAGTGCTGCGAATTTGTCCATCTGAATGTGCATCCAAAATCTATAACGATACAAAATCAAAACATAGCTCTATAATCAATGCATAGGTACATGAACGTATAAAATATACAGTACACATTCAGATTATATGTACATATAAATATAATGCACATACAAGATGTATAGCTATATATTGCACTATAGCACATATATATATATATACATATGTATATATACAACGCCTGTGTACCGCAGTGGTCGGAGGCGCCCTGTAATACACACGTGGAATCGGTCCCGCGCCCATGACCCGCCAAGCCTCTGGGGTCGGCGAATTGGCGGACAGACCTATCCGGGAGATGGCAGCACTGGCTCGATAAATTGGTAGGCCACAGCGAGTCATTGTAAAGTTCGTACATACATTCAATCACCAACTATGTTTAATGAAGTAGAATGCACGGCGCATCCTTCAGGTGTAGATCAATGTCGAGGACCAATTAAACCGTAGGGAGGTGGAAAGACACAAGCCGACCATGATTTCGCTAGTAGAAATTGATCTTCTACCGAATCTCAGAAAAACAATGTTCATCAAGAATAGATTGCTTTCGAATACACATTCACGCCAAACGGAACGAATATCTCGGAATGCAACAGCAATGATGTTGAGATATAAGCAAAACTCAGAACGGCAGCTGAGCTTCGAATCTGCGTACCCTTTCCGGAAACTGACGTTTCGTCCACTGCACTATCGAGACTATTTGCTTTTTCTCATCCGGTTTTTTACCCTAACTTTATCATCACTAGCAAGAGTTAAATAATGATTTCGACTGCAGCTTCAATTCAACAGGGATCAATACCAAAGTGTGTTCTCCAGATCATTCCCGTTAACAGATCATTGCTGATAGCACCGTATGGGTAAAAAAACTGGTTTAGAGCAAAGCAAAGGCCTTGATAGTCCACCACATCTACTGTGTAGATACCAATACTTCTTGTACTCTCGCTTTTTTTCGCATTCGTCGCCCAAAAAAAAACTCTATGAACATTTCGCGTGTTCCTCCGGCTGCTGCCTGATGAATTCGTCTCCTTTGTGAGTGTTGTAGAATGTTGGTCGAATCAATTGCCCTTGCAATCTTGGAGGTAGCCGGGCTAAGGCGTTCTCTCGTGGGTTGGCCGAGAGCGTTACGGCAGATATCGAGCTAGCGTCTTTGCTTCTTGGTCGACGGCATCACTAATCACTGCACTAACTCCGCCCCACACTAACATTATATGATGATAAATTAGATTTATTACGTACCACTTTTGTTAAATTCACCATGATATATACATTTATATGCACGTACATGTATAATATATATAATATATACACGCATATCCTCCAACGGTTTACCACCTCAACGTGGCTGTGAGGTGTTCCTGGATATCGGACTGCGATGTACAGCGGGGGATTCGTCCCCCGACAGGATCTCCCGAGCTGAAAAGGAGTCCAGCGTCTCCATTAGGAAACCTAGCTAAGAGTACATCAATACGAGGATCCATCATCGTCCTAGTATCAAAGTCGCAGTGTCAAATCTCCCTCTGATCCACAAGGGCTGCAACTGCCTACAGTGGTGATAACCTGAGGCAGACTTTGGCCAGGCTGACTTCGGGATTGCAAAATGGAGAATATGCTGGAGCCCACACAACTAGTGAGAACGGGCCGTTCAAGTATCAAACAAGTATACACGCCTATGCATATATTCATGCATACGTATGCGTACGTTATACATATGTATAGTGTGTATACACATGCATGGACATTACATACAAATCCACGTATAGACATATATATATATATATATATGTGTATATCAGAACGAAAGTTGTATAGATGACAAACCTTCGTTGGGTTCAAACTGGAAGCCGAAGTGTCAACTTTGTCCAAATCTTCAATATCCAAACTCTAAATGGTCAAAATTCGATAAAAGAAGGAAAATGAACTCCATTGGATAAGTTAGCAAATTTCTACCACTAGTAGTCAACCCAATGAAATAAAAAATTATTCCCTACTTGAATAAAAAATGCATGGAAAAGCCGAGCGGCAAGGTCTACGTTGCAGAAAACGGATCCACGAATATTAAGACATAATTAAGCCAGCATTTCGATTTCTCTCTTGGGTGCGACATCACAATTTAAAGTTTAAAACTACTTGCAGGTTAAGTACTATCGTTCAAGAAACTCATTCTAACACAGTAAAATGCAGTTTCTACGGACTTCTCTTGTTTTCTTTTAAAAGGTTATGAAATATCTCGGCGAAATCAAAGGGGAGCATAAGCAAAGTTCCACATAGCTTTGTATATGAAAGGCGTTGAATTAAACTATGTTACAGGAGCTCATATCGAAAACTTAGCACGGTTAAGATCCATGTTACATTCTCCTCGACGTTCCAGTTGGAAATTCATATATACGGGAAAAAACAGAATAAAAAGATCGAATACAATATCGCAACGATGCGGTAACAAAAAACTTAAGTGTAGAAAGGTCTAGTAGATTATACGACACAAATTCACTGAAACGGTGATGGAGAAAAGGAAAGATTTCCGTGGTCTACCCGAAAGCTTGTTCGTTTATGACGACTTTTCCCAATAGCACCGTCACGATCCAGCTCTTGAACCTTGTAGGATTCCTCCACAGGGGTACGAAGATTTTCGCGAACAGAATTACCGAAGTAGTCAGATTCTTGACCCTGTATACAGTATACAAAAGCAGTAGTTAAGAACAAGGCGAACGCCCCAATACGAAACAAAATAATACCGATTGAGGAGACTGTGATAATCGACCAACTTCATTCTTTGTCGGAACATGAGCTTCTTCTCGAACAGTGCCTGTAAAAAGCACTGTAGAAAGAGCGCACACAATCTACAGAATAACTCTGGTTAGTAGAACCTCTCCTTTCAAAAAAAAAAAACCCCCGTCAAACGACAATAGACCTTGCAAGCAAGAATTTTACCATAAACGAACTAAATTTTAAAAAAAAACTTCCATTACACTTAGAATTCACGTGAGAACGTGACTAAAACAATCGCTTACAGATCTCTTCTCTCTCAGATTCACAGGATTTTCCACCATTTTCACAGATACCAAAGTAGTAATTTGAATGAGACAACCGAGCATCAGAACTTCCATCTATAAACACGTTATTTGCTACCAATCACGGGATCCGCGCAAGAGAAAAACCCTACGGAATCTGGTCCTTTGCAGTGGTTGGCTTGAGCGCCGAGGAGTATTCCCACATTCCGACGCAGTATCATAATATCGAGATGGCAGCTCAAGCACCAACACTTATGATATTTTACGCTTAGAACTTTAACAAGAACACTTACCATTCGAATTTCATCTGACGAAGTACTTGTTGATGTCCTCGATTCGCTCGTTTGTGAAAGACTTGCACTAGCCCATCTATCTAAAAAAAAACAATGAGACTTTCAAGTTTGTCAGAATATTGCCCTTATAATAGAGACATCAACTGAAGATTAAGTCCACCCATAGCACTATAAAGAAGCCCCATGAAAATTGATTACTTTCAAACGTATACGTATTAAACCTATATCGCTTTAAAATACAAGGGGCCCATTTTCTTGAAGGCAGCCTTCTTTCGGAGAGAATAAAGGGAGGCCGAAATGGTGGCCGATTCTTGTTCATAATGTGCCCTTAGGAAAAAAAAGATTTACGCCACAACTCCTTTTTGCTCCATGATTTTCTCACCACACAAGTAATCTGATGCGTTTTCGTTATATCATGTTCAATAAATCAACCTCCGTATAAACGAAGGTAAACGTAAAAAGTAACGTAAAGGTATAAACGATATATACCATAACGAAATAGACCATATCTAGTAAATAGAAGGTTTACCTAACCGATGTCGCTGTTGTCCCAAATTTCTACACGGGGTCAGACCACCGCCTCCTTCGTACAAGATTCCATTTAACGAGAAAAAGCCACTAAATTCAAAAAAAACGAAGTCGCAGAACCACTGTACGTTGGGACTCGTTCAACTCATTAGTCGACCATTGGGAAGACGCCGTTGTCG